GACACCACTAAAGTATCTTCTTTTCTTTGTATTTTATGTGCATCTTTTGCCCGCATGTATGTCTGTGCACCACATATATGCCTGATGCCTATGGAGGTCGGATTCCCTGGGAACAGAATTACAGATGGTTCTGAACCACCATGTTGGCCCTGGGCATTAAGCACAGGTTCTCTGGAAAAGCAGCCAGCCCTTACCACTGAGCCATTGCTCCAGCCTGAAGTGGTTAAAATGGAAGCTAAAGAGATGGTCCATGGATAAGGTGTTTTGTGTGCAAGTGAGGACTTAGTTCAGATCACCAGAACCCATGTAAAGCTGGACTTGGAAACATTATCTGTCACTCCAGCCCTAATGCAACTGTTGGGGGCTTGGCTGGAAGGTGGGAGAATCCCCTTGCTCACGGGAGCTAACCTGGTGTATGCAGTAATGAACAAGAAACCCTGTCTTAAACGAGATGGAAGCAAAGATCAACACCCAAGGTTGTCTTCTGTTCTCCAACAAGTGTGCTGTCCAGTGTACCCACACATAAATATTTTAAAAATGGTTAAAATGATGTTTCACATATATTTACCACAGAGAGAGGAACATAAAATCAAGGTGTTTTCTTAGATAGTCCCACACATTAGCATCTGCATTATAGTTTTTCTGCCTGGCGTGATGGCACACCAAATGATTACATCCAAATGATTATAATCATTTTATATACCCTGTATATAAAAGGAGGCCAGGGGACAGAGGTCATTTGAGCAACTTCAACTTTTTTTTTTTCTCGAGAAAGGGTTTCTCTATAGCTTTAGAGCCGGTCTGGAACTCGCTCTGTAGACTAGGCTGGCCTTAAACTCACCAAGATCTGCCTGTCTCTGCCTCCCAAGTGCTGGTATTAAAGGCGTGCGCCACCACCACCTGGTGAGCAACTCCAGTTTTTAAAGCTGGTCTTGCTGGGCATGGTGGCCCATACGTTTAATTCCAGCACTAGGAAGGCAGAGGCAGGTAGATCTTTGTGAATTTGAGGGCAAGCTGATCTACAGAGAGAGTTCCAGGACAGTCAAGGCTATACACAAAGAAACCCTATCTGGGAAAAAAAGAAAAGAAAATTCTTTTAACTCGGTAGCATTGTCTTTTTCTGTTCATTTTCTAGTTGAATTTTCTAGATGCAAGACAAATCAGAGTGATGTGGAAATTTCCTAAACTCACTGAAGCAGACCCCCAATGGCGCTGTGGGACAGTTCTACCGTCCAGATCAGAAAGGTCAGCCCAGTGTGCGTGAGTGACTGTGTCCGGGACCGCAGTCTTTTTGAAGTGTTAGGACCCAAATCAATGGGCTATTACAGCTCGTGTGCATGGTCTCTTAGTATATCTCACCCTCCACTGTTCCCTCCACTGCCCTCTCCTCTCCAGTATGATCTCTCCCTTTCCCCCCTCCTCTCCCTTCCTCTCTCTTGTTTTCTTGGCTTGAGGCCAAACCGTAGGCCCCATGCATACTACAGCTGCTCCATAACTGAGCTCCATCCTAGCCCTTGCTTTGCTTTTTTCATTTTATGTGTATGAATATTGTTGTTGTTTTGGTTTTTCAAGACAGGGTTTCTCTTTGGAACCTGTTCTAGAACTAGCTTTTTTTTTCTTTTCATGTATTTTATGTGCATAAGTGTTTGGCCCGTATGTATTTATGTGTACCATGTGGTTCCTGGTGCCCACAGAGGTCAGAAGAGGGCACCAGCTCCCCTGAAACTGGAGTTATGGATGGTTGGGAGTCACGATGTGGGTGCTGAAAACCAAACCTAGGTTCTCTTCAAGAGCAACAAGTGCTCTCAACAGTTGAACCTTTTCTCCAGCCCCATATTTTTATTATTTTAAATTGTGTGTGTGTGTGCTTGGATAGTCCATGTGAGTGAGTGCAGGTTCCTGAGGAGGCCAGAACAGAGTATCAGATCCTCTGCAAAGCAATGATTGCTCATAACTGCTGAGCCTTCTCTCCAAACCCTGTTTGTTTGTTTGTTTAAGGTAGAGTCTCACGATTCTACTCAGTCTTGAACTTCCTGTGTAGCTCAGGCAGACTTTGAACTCACGATTCTCCTGCCTCCCATCCCTCCAAAGTTCTGGTGCTTCACACGTGTGCACTGCATCCTGTCTGCTCACCCACTTCTTTTTCTGTGTGCCTGAGTCACGACAGCTGCCGGGTGGTGGAATGACATCATCTCTCCTAAGCATTCTGCCTCTAGTTTACTTGGAGCCAGAGCGTCTAGTTTTGAAATTTTGTCACCTTCCGTTTGTTCCTCAACACCTGTACTACAGAATTACACCCCAGGCCCCATTTCGCACCCTACTGGTGACTTCCCCTGGAATTACCCTTCTGGAACTTAGCTTTTAAACCGGCAGAGGAGGGTAAGAGCTGCCCATAGAACTACTCCAGGACCTGGGATGCGCTCAGAGGTGCATTCCTGGCCTAGTAGTCCATGCAGCATGCTGAGGTCAGCATGCCTGAGCCCTCCAGACAGCTGGTTTGAGCCTGACCAACACCCCAGGACTGAGAGGAAGCTCTATCAGGCTGGCTCCTTTGATCCTTATTTGTTTTCTAATAGCTTCTAGGCTACAATGGCCTAAGTAGACCTTCCCAAGTGGAAAGCTATTTCTAGTAAGGTCAGGCTTTTTAATAAATAAATAAATAAATCTTTTTTTTTTTAAAGAGGGCGGGGGGTTGGAGAGGTGAACTCAGATGGTAAGCACTGGCTGCTCTTCCAGAGGTCCTGAGTTCAATTCCCAGCAACCACATGGTGGCTCACACCATCTAGAGTGGGATCTGATGCCTTCTTCTGGCATAAAGTTGTACATTTCAGATAGAGCAATCTTTTTTTTTGTTTTTGTTTTTGTTTGTTTTGTTTTTTGTTTTTCGAGACAGGGTTTCTCTGTGGTTTTTGGAGCCTGTCCTGGAACTAGCTCTTGTAGACCAGGCTGGTCTCGAACTCACAGAGATCCGCCTGCCTCTGCCTCCCAAGTGCTGGTATTAAAGGTGTGCTCCACCACCGCCCGGCTTAGATAGAGCAATCTTATACATAAAATAAATCTTTTTTTTTAAAGAGCAAGCTTTTAAAAAATCTTTTAAAAGATTTATTGTATTTTTAAAATAATTTATTCATTTTTATTTTATGTGCATTAGTGTTTTGCCTGTATATACTCTGGGTGAGGGTGTCTCTCGGATCCCCTAGAAGTGGAGTTACAGTTCTATTTATGAGCTGCCTTGTAGGTGCTAGATATTAACCCTCTGGAATAGCAGCCAGTGCTCTTAACCACTGAGCCATCTCTCCAGCCCCTGTATTTTTAATTTTTAAAAATGGTGAGGATTGAAAAGATGGCTCAGTGCTTAAGAGCACTGGCTGCTATTCCAGAGGACTTGGGTTCCATTCTGCACCCATATGGTGTATAGAGGAGCTTTTCTTTGTGGGCCACCAGTTCACAAAACATGACACAGAGACTAATTGTTAATTATGAAAGCTCAGTCTTAGCTTAGACTTACTTCTAACTAGCTTTTTTTTTTCTAACTGATATGTGTCAAGGTTTATTTTCGTTTTGTTTTGTTTTTCGAGACAGGGTTTCTCTGTAGCCTTGGAGCCTGTCCTGGAACTAGCTCTTCTAGACCAGGTTGGCCCCAAACTCACAGAGATCCGCCTGCCTCTGCCTCCCAAGTGCTGGAGTTAAAGGCGTGCACCACCACCACCTGGCTTCTAACTAGCTTTTATGACTTAAATTAACCCATATTTTTTATCTACACTCTTCCACGTGCTCATTACCTCATCTCTGTTATGCACATCCTGGTTATTCTGCGTCTGGCTGGTGACTCTGCCTTTCTTCCCAGAGCTCCCTCTGTCTAGAAGTCTCACCTATACCTCCCGCTTAGCTGTTGGCCAGTTAGCTTTTTATTAAACCAATCACAGTGACACAGTATAAAGGAATATTGCACAGCAGTGGTGGCTCTTAACTGTCTGTAACTCCAGTCCCAGGAGATCCTCCCCTTCTGGCTTCCATGGGCACCAGGCACATTGTGGTGCACAGGTACACCTGCACACGTAGGCAGAACACCTGCACAGGTAATAAAACTAACTTAGCTGGGCGGTGGTGGTGCACGCCTTTAATCCCAGCACTCGGGAGGCAGAGGCAGGTGGATCTCTGTGAGTTCGAGGCCAGCCTGGTCTAGAAGAGCTAGTTCCAGGACAGGCTCCAAAACCACAGAGAAACCCTGTCTCGAAAATCAAAACAAAACAAAAAAAACCTAACTTTAAATGTGTTTTGTTTTTGCTTTTTGAGACAGGGTTTCTCTGTGTAACAGTCCTGGCTGTCCTGGAACTCACTTTGAAGACCACCACCTGGATTAAATTTTAAATGTTTTAAAAAAATATTTATGACGGGCAGTGATGACGCACACCCTTAATCCCAGCACTCTGGAGGCAGTGGCAGGGAGATCTCTGTGAAACCAGCCTGGTCTACAGGACAAGTTCCAGGACAGCCAAGGCTACAAAGAGAAACCCTGTCTCAAAAGACCAAAAATAAATAAGAAAGAGGAAGGTTTGTCTTGTTATTTTTGTATGAGTGTTTCTCTGTGTTAGTTTACACCACATGTGTGCTGTGCCTGCAGAGGTCAGAAGAGGATGCTGGGTCCCTTGGAACTGGAGTTACAGTTTTAAACTGCCTGAGCTGGTTGCTGGGAATTGAACTCGGGTCTTCTGAAAGAGAAGTAAGCACTCCTAACCATCCAGCCATCTCTGGCCCACAGAGTCAGGCTTTCAAAGCATTACTGGGAATCTGTCCCTAGCTTTTCATTACTTGGAACCCATGACCTCTTCTGTTAACACATAAACTCTGTGAAAAGAAGTTGTTCTCCAGAGTTAGTGATGACTTGTCAGAGCAATTATTTATCTTCCTAACCCTTTTAGAAAAAAATAGAAACAAAACCAAGTCCTTTAAAAGGTGAACTTTCAGTGCATGTACTAAAATGGTTTTCAATCCTCTAGGTGTGAGAGATGACTGACTGGTTGACAGAAAGTCCCCAAGGACGGGGCTGCAAGATTTAGCTACTCTTAGTTCCCTTCCTGGCAGCCTGGAACCTGCCTCCCAGGCACCTCAGGCGCCATGGACTCCCCAGGGTACAACTGCTTTGTGGACAGGGACAAGATGGACGCGTCCATCCAGGACCTGGGGCCAAAGGAACTGAACTGCACCGAGCTTCAGGAGTTGAAGCAACTGGCACGCCAGGGCTACTGGGCTCAGAGCCACGCCCTGCGGGGGAAAGTGTACCAGCGCCTGATCCGGGACATCCCCTGCCGCACGGTCACACCTGATGCCAGTGTGTACAGCGACATCGTGGGCAAGATTGTGGGCAAGCACAGCAGTAGTAGCCTGCCCTTGCCCGAGTTTGTGGACAACACTCAGGTGCCCACCTACTGCCTGAACACGCGGGGTGAGGGGGCTGTGCGCAAGATTCTGCTGTGTATTGCCAATCAGTTCCCCGACATCTCCTTCTGCCCTGCCCTGCCGGCCGTGGTGGCCCTGCTGCTGCACTACAGCATCGACGAGGCCGAGTGCTTCGAAAAGGCTTGCCGCATCCTGGCCTGCAACGACCCCAGCAAGAAGCTCATTGACCAGAGCTTCCTGGCCTTCGAGTCCTCCTGCATGACGTTTGGGGACCTGGTGAACAAGTACTGCCAGGCAGCCCACAAACTGATGGTGGCTGTGTCAGAGGATGTCCTGCAGGTCTACTCTGACTGGCAGCGGTGGCTGTTTGGGGAGCTGCCCCTCAACTACTTTGCCCGTGTCTTTGATGTCTTCCTTGTAGAAGGCTACAAGGTATTATATCGAGTCGCTCTGGCCATCCTCAAGTTCTTCCACAAGGTGAGAGCAGGCCAGCCCCTCGAATCAGACAACGTAAAGCAAGACATCCGCGTGTTTGTCAAGGACATTGCCAAGACGGTGTCCCCTGAGAAGCTACTAGAGAAGGCCTTTGCCATCCGCCTGTTTTCCCGCAAGGAGATCCAGCTCTTGCAAATGGCCAATGAGAAAGCACTAAAGCAGAAGGGCATTACTGTCAAGCAGAAGAGGTAGGTGGGCCCTGGGATCCTGTGCATTGCCTGTGTGCTCATGCCTCTGTTTGTAAGTTAAGTGTGTGTGAATACATGTGTGTGCTGTGTGTATGTGTGAGCGTGTGTGTGCCTATACTGTGAGCATATTGCGTTTGTGGAGTGGGAAGCTTTAGTGGAACGCATCCATGAGGTCTGAGCATGAGCTTGTCCAGCCAGCCGTTGGTCTGCTTCTAGCCTTCTGTCTGTCCACCTGCTCACGTGTGGACAGAAAGACACTAGAAAAGCCGGGCGGTGGTGGCGCACGCCTTTAATCCCAGCACTCAGGAGGCAGAGGCAGGCGGATCTCTGTGAGTTCGAGGCCAGCCTGGTCTACAAGAGCTAGTTCCAGGACAGGCTCCAAAGCCACAGAGAAACCCTGTCTTGAAAAACAAAACAAAACAAAAAAACAGACACTAGAAAACAGGAAGGGCTTTGTAATTACAGCCTTATTAAGACAAGGAAGCTGGATACTACCAGGGGGTCAGGAGGCCCAGCAGGTGCCAGACTGGGTTCCTAGGGGGTCACATCAGAACAGCTCCTGCTCTGCCCTTCCAGCTCCGAGCTTCATGGCTGGCATTCTTCTGGATGCTTATTATGGGCTCCCTGTCCTTGGGGAGCAGGGTTGGGAAGAGTCATGGTGTTTGATACCTGATTTGTAGACTGCTGTAGGCATGGCTGCTGGCATGGAGTTCACTTTCTCCTGAGCCCAAAGGAAGGCATACCTGGGGATCGATACCCACCACTAACCTCGCCTTGTCTGTTTTATTTTTCTTCTTCTCCATGTTCGTTGCTTCCTCCTGTTTCTCAGTGTCTCACTTTCTAAAAGGTAGGTCTGAAACCACACCTCGATGCTTGGCCTCTCTGCCCTGCCTTTCTTCCAGCCAGCTTTGGCTTGGCTGCTCACTGTCTCCCATGCCCAACTGGCTCACCTGGGCTGGCTTCTGCTTGCTGCTTTAGCCTGATTGATACAGGCACTGTCTGTCTGTCTGTCCCTCTTTCTGCCTCACTTGTGAGATCTGGTGCTTGGCTGGCTTTGCAGCCTTGCCTTGCTGGAGGCTTACTTCATTTGTCCTGGTTTCTTAAAGAAAAGAGCTTTTGTCGCCCATACCCCTAGGCTGGGCCCTCTTCCACGTATCAGGTGGGAGGCGGGGCTTCTAGGAATGATTTCACCCCATTTCCAAGCGGCACCTAGAGCCATGCTGTAAACCTGGCTGAGTAAGTGGGATATCCTTTCCAGGATATGTACCAAAATGAAACTGTGGGGTCTCAAGGTAAGGGGGTACAGTCAGGACTGTGGCCACTGTGGGCTCTCACCCCTCCCCACTTTTCCCAGGCAGTTTGTGCACTTGGCTGTTCATGCAGAAAACTTCCGCTCAGAGATTGTCAGCGTGAAGGAGATGAGAGACATTTGGTCCTGGATCCCTGAGCGTTTTGCCCTCTGCCAACCCCTCCTGCTCTTCTCCTCTCTGCAGCATGGGTACAGCTTAACCAGGTGAGGCACCCCCAAGACTGTGCACGTCACACTCTGTTCTCCACTTCAGGAAATGAGCCTTTGAACCTGAGTTCTGATAAGGTCTTGCAGAATCAGGAGCCTCTTATAGCCTCTTATTGTAGCCTTCGGTCATTCCCAGGCTACATAGACTTTGGAAATCATTGCTGTATGCAGCACAGTTGAGGGCCCTGTGTGGGTATCATAAAGATAAAGAAATCAAAGTCCCCATCTGAGGAGCTCAGAATTATTAGGGAGATGTCATCTGGACAGCTGGCCCTGGCCTCCCTGCTACCCTTACCCCCTGTGTCCGTCACAGTCCTGGACCAGATACCCATTTTTTGTGTCTCTGTGTAAGCACCTGGTATTCTAGCAGGGGCACATTGCCCTCCAAGCTGGATTGGTTGGGTCCAGTTAGTGTTCAGGTCTCAAATGACAGCTCACAAACTCTGGACCACCCTCCCTCAACCCCGAGTCTCCTGCCTGCAATCACACAAACATTTCAGCTTAGCTAAGAGTCACGTCTCACCAGGTGGTGGTGACGCACACCTTTAATCCTGGCACTCGGAGGCAGAGGCAGTTCTGAGTTCGAGGCCAACCTGGTCTACAAAGTGAGTTCCAGGATAGCCAGGGTTACACAGAGAACCACCATCCCCGGCTCCTTCCAGCCCCAGGGATGCTTGAGCATCTCAGTGGCAAACCTCTCACCTTCCTCAGTTCAGGGCTGAGCTTTCCCCTGCTTCTCTGGTTCCTGCTTCTCGGTAGCTTCCAGCTTTGCCTGAGGGAGAATTCACCTAATCTTCTCTTTTGTCATACTATAGCAGCCTGGCCTGGCCCAGATGACATTGCAAGGTCCTTGTCCACTGTGGAGAGAGGTAGTGGTAAAAGAGGGTAGTCCCCAGGCCTCTCTACCCTGACCTTTGGACTGACAGTGGCCGTGCTAATTGGAGGGCAAACAGGATAGCATGTGGTCTCTGCCCCCAGGTTCTATTTCCAGTGTGAAGGACACGAGCCCACCCTCCTGCTCATCAAGACCACGCAAAAGGAGGTGAGGAGCCTGGTTTACTGGGCTGGTGCCAAGGTCTGAGTATGGATATGGTTCTCGTGCTCGAGAGCCACAGGGGAAGACAGAATGGCCCTGAGGGTACACTGCCTTAACTCAGTCCTCTCCATGACCTTTGCCCTCAGTGGTGGGAGAACACAGCATACAATACCCCTAAGCTGGGACGTGGTCTCTCAGCACGCCTGAATGAGGGGACACGCCTGATGACAGAAGTCTCACCCCAGCCTTCCTCCCTAGGTTTGTGGCGCTTACCTGTCAACAGATTGGAGCGAAAGAAATAAGTTTGGAGGCAAACTGGGCTTCTTCGGAACAGGAGAATGCTTTGTTTTTAGGGTGAGTTGGGCTAAGTGTGGAGTTCCTCTGCCCTCTCCCTCCTTCCTTGGCTGTTCCTGTCTCTTCAGACATTCTGAGTACTTAATCAGCCCTCCAAGACTGAGTGTAGGCCCAACATCTGTCCTGGACCAGGGAATTGTCACAGAAGCTGGCTCGAGGGGCTCAGAAGTCCCCCCAGCACAAGAGCCTCGTTTCATCTTCATTGTAGCGAGTACCCTAAAACATACTCTGTTTTTACTTCTGGAATTTGTTGGTTAGGCTATGAGTGCCCCAAAAGCTAGCAGGACCTCATTTGCTAATGCGGTGTGCCATTGCCACAGCCCTCTTAGGGATCCACCCACAGCCCTCTTAGGGATCCACCCACAGCCCTCTTAGGGATCCACCCACAGCCCTCTTAGGGATCCACCCACAGCCCTCTTAGGGATCCACCCACAGCCCTCTTAGGGATCCACCCACAGCCCTCTTAGGGATCCACCCACAGCCCTCTTAGGGATCCACCCACAGCCCTCTTAGGGATCCACCCACAGCAGAGTTGTGGCATGAAGATGGGCAGTGGCTTTGGAGCAGGAAGGCCGAGGGAGGTGCCCCACGCCAGTTACTCTGACTGCCACCCATTCTTCTCCAGCTGCAGCCAGAGGTGCAGCGTTACGAGTGGGTGGTCATCAAGCACCCAGAGTTGACCAGGCCAACATCCTTCAAGTCCTCAGAGACTGCAGCTGCTCCTTCCTTCCTCAGCCACTCTGTCTCTTCAGACCCTGCTGATCGGCTGTCTCCTTTCCTGGCTGCCCGGCACTTCAACCTGCCCTCCAAGACAGAGTCCATGTTCATGGCTGGGGGCAACGACTGCCTCATCATTGGTGGGCACCTCTTCCCTTCCCTTCATTCAGTCTGGGAGGAGGACATGGGGGCTTGAGGGGAGCGGAAACCTCTGTGCCCAGTCCTCGCTGACTAGTGGTCAACAAAGTAGACATCTCCGTTAGAGGAAAAGGAGCTTTCATACTGGTAGACCAGTATGAAAGATGGGAGGTATGGGCTAGCAGACAAGCAGTAGCCAGGACAGCCAGGCCCGGGTAAATTTGGGGTTCTAGAGGAACCCCTGTAGTCCAAGGATCTCTTTACTGAGATTGCTATTTAGCAGACCCTTCAAGGACAGAGATGATGGCATATGTGGGTATGGGGTGGATGTTGGAGCAGAAAGACATCTGTTCCCTTGCATTTCCCACAGGGGGAGGAGGTGGCCAAGCACTCTACATCGACGGGGACCTGAACCGAGGCCGCACTGGACACTGCGACACTTTCAACAACCAGCCCCTCTGCTCTGAGAACTTCCTTATCTCTGCTGTGGAGGCTTGGGGCTTCCAAGACCCTGACACCCAGTGATGGGTCTGCGCTGGTGGTGACTGAGCCTCGTTGTGGGGTGACGGGGTGGAGGCCAAGCTACCTCTTGAGGGAGCAGGGCATGAGTGAAACAACACCCCCATGAAGCAGGCAGGCTTGCTGTGCGGTGGGGACGTCCTGCTTGGACTTGTTAGGCTAGGACCCCTGCACCCTACTGTTTCTGAGCTCAAGGGGCTATTGTGCCCCCAGCCCTGTCCAGTGTCTGCCCTCACCCAGGGTCCTGGGTTGCATGGAGGTGTCCAGTACCCAAGATTGCCAGGGCTACATTGCTCTGCCTCTGGTCCTCGGCCCCTGTAGGGAAAAGGACAAATGAATCTTGCCAAATGTGGGTCTCTGGTGCCCCCTGCTGGTCCTCTGGCCCCCTGCGCTCCCCTGAGCTATGTTTGCTGCTGCAGGACAGGATAGGGGAGGGCAGGATGTGTGCAGAGCTCTGCGGCCCCTCCTGTCCTAGAAGGGACAAACTCGGGAAAGCTGTCTTGTCTTTGTGTTTCTGCAAAGCCTGAAGCTCTTGCTGCATCTCACTGCAAGTCCACACCTGAAGGTGGTCTCTGGAGAGACTTTCCTTGACCAGCGTGGCCAGTCAGCTCCATTTCCAGGGTTCTCCTCAGAGCTGACTGGACTCTCAGGCTTTTTGCCCACCTTCTGTCCATCCTTGTAGCCTCCTTGGACTCCTGTAGTCTTGGTGACTCTGTTCCTTTCCTCGTCGCTGTAATGACTGAAGCCCAGGATCACCCGAATCCTAGCATGGCATGCTTGTCTCAGTCCAGCCTTCTGCCTTCCCAGGCCTGTGGTTCCCTAGACCTGTTCATACAGCATCTGATAAAGCAGTGTGACTTCTGATCTCTGCTGTCACTATGGCTAGCCACATGTCATGTTTTCTGTGTGCTACCCTTCTCCCGTTATGGCCTTCCAGTCTCTGGATGTCTGTACTTCTTGAGCCCTGTACTGACCTGGCACCACAGATGCCAAGGAAAGTGCTGCCTCTGAGGACTGTAGCAAGCTCCATTTCCCCGTGACCTTCCGCCCACCCTGTGACCTCCCTCAGCTGGTCCTGAGGGTCTAGGCTCCACAGAGGAAGAGAGAAGAAGTTAACCCAAATGGCTGGCTGGGGCCGCAGAAGTCTGGATCATAAGAACAGTTGCCTGGTTCCCACATGACTGCGTCTGGCGTGCCTGGGTCAGTGTGTATCACACCTGTGCTTGCCTCCACACTGATATCACACTTGCTGTGAGGGCTTCATCCGCCCCTGCCCCATCTAGTCATATCAGCTCTCAGCACGGCCACAGTGGCACAAGAGGCAGGGCAGGGAGGAGTTCCCTGAAGTTTTGGGCCACCTGGTAAACCCGCATAGAACTTGGACTCTGTGCAGTGAACAGTTCTCCTGACATGCTGGCCTCTACGACAGGTTGACCTGACTCTAGAGGGAAGGAGTCCTGGGAGGAGCTGTTGTTGCTCACTCTGCAAAGTGGTAGCCTGTGCCGCCATTCCTCTGAGCCTGCTGTCCTAGACCTGCACCTCCAACTTCAGTGTTCCTTTAAGGCCATCTTGATTTTTGTGACTGTTGTTTCTGGCAAGATCTTACTAGGTAGCCTATTTGGTCTGGAACTCACTATGTAGCCCAGGCTACCCTGGAAATGGCTATGTAGCCTAGGTTGGCCTCAAAATCATGACCTGCCTCAGCCTCCTAAGTGTCAGGTTTGTAGGCATTAAGCCCTTTCCTGTTGCATTAATTCCTCGACGTTGAGCTTGGTCTCCAGCCAGAAGGCCCTAGGACATTCCTAGGCTGTGCCGTCATGATGCTCACCCATGCATTGCCCCTGGGACTCGGGAGACTTTCAGAAGCAGGTTAAGTTAACTGAGCAGTGTGTGCAGGGCTCTGTAAGATTCCTGACTGGGTAGTAGATTCTTGTTTTGTGTGGCCCCACTGGACTTCCTGGGGTCCAGTGCAAGAAGACTGGTCAGTGCTTAGTCACAATTGCATCATAAGCAAAGTTCTTAGCTTTTACCCACAACATTCTCAGTTTTTTAAATTTAATATCTCCTTTTTCCTGACCTTTCTGCCAAAAGATGTGTCATTTTCTTTGTATTTTTATTCTTATCACTCTTTATCTGATGCTAAGTGTTTCCACTTAGTATTTAATAATGTTTTCTATTATTTATTAGCTTTTGATGTAAAAAAAAGCTAGAATTTGATGGCATTGAATAAGGAATTTTATCATCACTTAAACATTTGTTTTTAAAACAAATAGTGAACTTAATATAAATTAGTTCATTAAAGTAACTTTGTTACTGTAAACCACGTGCCTTTGGGGCCTCAGAAAATCAGTCTGTACTCTGATTATGACAAGAGCCAGTTTCATGCAGCTCAGACTAGCCGTAGACGAAGCTTTTCCTGAACTCTTCCGTGTGCTTCTGCACCCCATATAATTGGCTCACAGGTGTGTGCCACTATGCTTGGTGACAACTCACTTTAAAAATATTTCATGAGACAGCAGTGGCTGTTCGCATTTTAAGAATTTCTCTTCTAATGAACTAAATTACTGCTTTAGTTTTTCCTGTTTTTGTGAGCTGCCACATGGGTGCTGGGACTGAGCCAGGTCTTCTGCAGGAGCAGCCAGTGCTCTAACCGCTGAGCCCCATAGTTTTTCTTATTTTTGTAAACTGCTTGCTTTTATTTTTTTCCACTTTTTTAGAGCAGTTTGTTTTCGAGCATTCTGGATTTCAGATTTTCAGGTTTCTCTTATTCATTTCCTGAGTCTGCAAAGCTTTTCTGGTCTCCTTAAGTATTTTATATTTAATAATTTAGGTTTTGTACTCCTTTTTTAAAGATGCTGAGGAGCGAATCTAGGACCCTGTACCTACAGTTTACATCAGAATTGCTGAGGTGGAAGTTTTTGAAGATCCTCATCCAATTATCCACTGTAAATATCAAAAGAATTGGCCAAGCGACACACCTTTAATTCGAGCACTCAGAAGGTCAAGGCAGGTAGATCTATGTGAGCTTGAGCCCAGCCTGTTCTATGCTGCAAGTCCCAGACCAGCCAAGGCTAAATAATGAGACCTTGTTTTAAAAAGCTGTGGGGAGAGGGGTGGTTTGGAAAGAAGGTTCAGCGGTTAGAGCACTGGCTCTAACCAGGTTCAATTCCCAGCAGCCACGTGGCAGCTCACAGCTGTCTGTAACTCCAGTTCCCAAGGATCCAGACCCTTTTCTGGCCTCTGTGGGCACTGTATCGATATAGTTCATAGACATATATATATACACAAAACACTCATAAACCAGAAAGTGGCTTGGGCACAGCCCCTGACTAAACCACAGCCTTGTCTTTCCGCTCAGCAGGAATACATGCAGTGCTTACGGACACCTGCTTTCTCACGCCCTCACGAAATCTAGACCACTGTCAGACTCAAAAGACTGTTAGGGTTTTAGATTGGCTTTGTTTGTTTGCTTTGCTTTTGTTTTGTAAGCCACCATTTAGGTTGTAGTTCTCTATAGCAGCTACTCCAGAGTAGCTCCTCCATGGCTTCCTCGGGTTTATGTGCAGTTATTATATCGAGCATGAATGCCAAGCAGGCCTTCAAGTTTTTTTCCCACCGTATCTACATCCGGCCAGAGAGCATATGAAGTTAAAAGATAATTTTGGTATTAAGATTCTTACCTGGGGGCTAGAGACATGGCTCAGAGGTCTTGAGTTCAATTCCCAGCAACCACATGGTGGCTCACAACCATCAGTAATGAGATCTGGTGCCCTCTTCTGGCCTGAAGGCATACATGCAGGAAGAACCCTGTATGCATAATTAATAAATAAGTCTTTTTTTAAAAAAAGATTCTTACCCAGGCCTGGTGTGTGTTTAAAACCCCATCATGTGGAAGTGGAAGCAGAAAGATGAGGTCATCCTTAGCTACATACTGAGCTCAAGGCTGGCTTTGGCTACAATGTCTTAAAAAGAGAAAAGAAAAAAAAGGACCTTTTTATGACGTCCCTCATTCCCTCAACTTCTGATTGTGCTGTTGGCATTAGGTGCAGTGTCATGTACATTACTACAGACAATGATTGTGTGCAGGCTCAGTCCCTTTCTTGAGCTGCATGGAATTTGTCAGCATTGTATTTAGGACGAAAAAGGCAGTGCGTGGATACATGGACACACTGACCTGTGACATGGCAAGAACCAAACCACCAAAACACTTCCATGTAGACTCGTATCTCCTGGTGTGCCGCTTGGCTGCTCTCAGCTGCTCTCTGGCCCTGCCTTCCTACACGAAGAGACCAGAACACCTCTGCTGTGCATTAGACATGAAGAGCTGGGCAGAGTGGTACATGCCTTTAGTCCCAGCGCTCAGGAGACAGAGGCAGCTAGATCTCTGAGTCTGAGGTCAGCCAGGGCTACACAGAGAGAACCTGTCTTGGGGTCGGGGAGCACTGTTGCTCTTCCAGAGAACCCAGGTTTGTTTCCCAACACCCAAACTGCGGTTCACAGCTGCCCATTTCTCCAGTTCAAGGGGATCTTCCACCCTCTCTTGGCCTCTGGGCACTGCGTGCAAGCAGTGCACAGACACACATGCAGGCAAAATCATACAAATAAGATAAAAATAAAGCTTAAAGTTTGTAAGCTGAAGACTGGAGGGGAAGACAGTCTATAACTTTACCTTTTAGATCTTGTGATGGGCTTTGACAGGTTAGGCGTCATGGTTCACACCTGTAATCTCAGCACTCCGGAGGCTGCGGCAGGAAGATGGCAGGATGAAGCTAATTTCATGCCGGCCTAACTTACATAGTGAGACCTTATCTTAAAATAAAAAACTAAATCCAGTGTGGTTCCCGGCTGACCCTGCGGAGCATCCGAGTGAGTGTACCAAACATACTCCCGCTTACAGAGCAAAAGTGTGGATTTGAGCAAAATGCAATTTTGTAATGTGAAAATAAGTGATTTTGTGATGTTTGGATATTGTTGATGTGAGTCCTAAATAAAATTAATAACTGAAGAAGAGGCATCGTAGTGTGTGCCGTGAGAGTACAGGATGGGATGTCCCGAGCACCCTTCCCAGGATACACTGGCCATCTCTTAGGAGAAGACGTAGACTAAGGATCCATTGCCCTCTTCAAGTAGAGCTGAAGTCTGCACCAGCCCATCATAGCCAGGACAAGGAGACCCCACAGAGACAGGTACATATTCTGCTGCTTCCTTTGTCACTGCCAGCCATGGGAACCCACTTACTGACCTTGCTTCTGCCTTCTGGCCCTCAGGATTTGTCGTTTGGCATAAGTGAAGAAAGGAGAAGAACCACTGTGAGCAGCCGCCAGATGTCTCCAGTCGTCTGGTTCCTGTGAAACGTAAAACTCAATGTCAATAGCAAAGTCAGGGGCTGGAGAGATGGCTCAACAGTCAAGAGCACTTGGCTGCTCTTCCAGAGGACCCGGGTTCAGTTCCCAGCACCCACGTGGCAGCTCACAACTGTCTGTGACTCCAGTTCCACCCTTACACCAATGCACATAAAATAAATCATTAAAAAGTAAAAGCAGCAGGGCGGTGGTGCATACCTTTAGTTCCAGCACCTGGGAGGCAGAGGCAGGCAGATCTCTGTGGTTCAAGACCAGCCTGCTCACAGCATGAGTTCCAGGACAGCCAAAATTGTTAAACAGAGAAACATTCTTTCAAAAAAAAATCAAACTCATGTTTCTCTTTCAAAATGAAACTGACTTAAACATTTGCATAAGCTAATATTAACATCTTTCCTAATGCTGTCTACTTTTTTTTTTTAATGTCTATGGTACTGAGAATTTGATGTGGCATCTTGCACATGCTACTGATTCTATCCCCAAACTGGTTTTTTGTTTTGTTTGTTTTTACTTTTTTGCTTTAGACACAGTGTCCTAAGGTGCCCAAGCTGTCCTTCTACTCACTCTGTAGCCTAGACCGGACTTTAACTTGTGATCATCTTTCTTAGCCTCCAAAGGAGGTGAGATTACATGCCGGCACCACGAAGCCTAGCACGATGTTTATCTTTGAACAGTGCACAAATACCTGCTCTCCTATCTAGTTCCTTGCTGTGAGGCTTCTGCGCATGGTTCTTGCCCTGTGCCTACAGCTGCTCTGGAACCCTGCTTGCTTCCCCATAAAATAATGGTTATCCACTTCTTCCCTGGTTCTCTTCCCCATGTTGACTGCAAGGGTAGATATGGCCTGTAATCTTCTCCTTTGCTGCCTCTTAACTCAAGGGCTTTCCTGTCGTATTGCAGGTTACTCCAGAGGATGCTGGGAGGCCTGGCCCACTTTGAGAAGCCCTTGTCTACTAGGCCAGGAGGTACTTGATCCGAGGGCTCCTCCAGCATAGCTACAGTGAGCTTTGGTTTTCTGCAGTTCCTCAGATGGACCCAGACCTGTTTCTGGGCTTTCAAGCCCCTTCCTAGCTTTGTAGCTCCTAAGAAAGCTTTACTGTTCTTGGTAGGAGGTGGTGGTGCAAGCCTTTAGTTCCAGAACTAGGGAGGCAGAGACAGGTGGATCTCTGTGAGTTCAAGGCCAGCCTGGTCTACAGAGTGAATTTCAGGACTCCAAAGCTACAAGAAACCCTGTCTCTAAAAACAAAATAAAACAAAAAAAGAAAACTTTACTGTTCTGTTGTCCACTGTGGACTGCCAGCCGTCCAGGGCAGAATTTAACAGCGGCTGCACTGCGGGTACAGGGCCATTCCCAAGGTTTGTCCTACACCCCCAGAATTCCCCAAAATAGCTCTTTCCTCTTACTGCTGGTGCTCAGAACAATCCCGCGACACAGACAGATGAACCACACTTGTAATCTCAGGACTTTAGAGTTAAAAGTTGATCTGGGGTTCAAGACCATCCTAGGTCACATAAGACACCCCCACCCCCACAAACAATAAAAACCTGGATTGTGTCTTTGTCTTCTTCCTGTTCTAAAAACTTTTTTTTTTTTTTGAGACAGGGTTTTTCTGTAGCTTTGGAACCTGTCCGGGCCGGGCGGTGGTGGCGCACGCCTTTAATCCCAGCACTTGGGAGGCAGAGGCAGGCGGATCTCTGTGAGTTCGAGACCAGCCTGGTCTACAAGAGCTAGTTCCAGGACAGGCTCCAAAACCACAGGGAAACCCTGTCTCGAAAAACCAAAAAAAAAAAAAAAAAGATCCGAACCTGTCCGGGAACTCCCTTTGTAGACCAGGCTGACCTTGAACTCCCTGAGGTCCGCCAGCTTCCACCTCTGAAGTGCTGGGATTAAAGGCACGCACGAGCACAGCCCGGCTAACCTTTTTATATTTTAAGATTTATTTAGAAATAAGATTTTTGTTGGACCCCAGGGTGGAGCCCCAACCTTTTCTCCCTCCTTTCTGACTTATTTTATTTATTTATTTATTTATTTATTTATTTATTTTTTGGTTTTTCGAGACAGGGTTTCTCTGTGGCTGTGGAGCCTGTCCTGGAACTAGCTCTGTAGACCAGGCTGGTCTCTAACTCACAGAGATCCGCGTGCCTCTGCCTCCCGAGTGCTGGGATTAAAGGCATGCGCCACCATCGCCCGGCTCTGACTTATTTTAAAATGAGGTTTACATGTTTACTCCCACAATAGGCTCCCAGCTCACCTCTACCAAGCGGGGGAGACAGAGTCAAAGGCATCTGACAAGCTGCTTCCACACCTAAGCTTACAGCAAACTAGCTTTAGTGTGTCCCCACTGCCCCCTGGTGGCAGAGTTGCCTCTCTGCCTGCCTGTTCATTTAGAGAAGATCCAGTCAGGTCCCTGGCATCAACACTTGAAATCTGGAAATTTTGCTAGACACCAGAGTTGCCCTGTGTTGGGATCATTCTAGCTGCCTGCCTTGTAAATACATAATTATTGTTGCTCTTGAGGTCACCCTTGCTATTCAAACTGTCTAGGAGCCAAGCAGCAAGAGATAGATTCTGTGTTTATAGGATTTTATTTATTTATTGTTTTTTAAATTAATTTTTAGACAAGCTCTCCATATGTGGCATTGGCTATCCTAGAACCGGCTATGTACACCAGGCTGGCCTTGAACTCATAGAGATCCTCTTGCCTCTGCCTTCCAAGTGCTGGAGTTAAAGGAGTGTTCCACCATGAGCAGGAGAGGTTTTATTTTGCTGGGTTTTTGTTTTGTTTTAATTTGTGTGAGCGTTTTTTGCCTGCATGTTTGCACGTGCACTACGAGGCCAGAAGATGGCATCTGATTCCCTAAACCGAAGCTGCGAGTTGTCCTGTGGACACTGGGCATGGAATCCAGTCCTCTGAAAAAGCAGCAAGTGCTGTTAACCACTGAGCCATTTCTCCAGCCCCTGTTTTTATTTCTCTGATCCTTATTCCATAAGGTATTTATTTCTCTTGCTCAGGATTAAGTCCAGGACACCATGCATACTAAACACAAATTCTACCATCAAGCAACACCCTGCCACCCCCCCCCCCAAGGGCCAGCCTTATTTGGTGTTTTTAGATTAAGATCTGCCTGTATAGCACAGGCTATCCTCAAAATTTCCAACTTCCTGTTCAACCCCTTAAATGCTGGGGTTATAGATGTGCACTACCATGCATGACTCAACTATTTTTGGGTTAAAAAATTAGCTGCCTTTTATCATATTTCATTCCCCCAAATAGTGCCGTTATCTGTGTGCTTTTGTTTCTACTAACCATGTCCAGGCCACACATGGCCCTGTCTCACCAATGTACAAAAGCACAGTGCATGGTGCCATCTCTTTATAGTGTTGTCTGTCCTGTGTCCTTGTGTTCCTCTCCCCCACACTCAGGCCTCCATGGTGACTCAGAAGGAGGCTGTTGGCAAGGTTCCTTCTGGGACACATGGTTCTTGATGTTCCAGAAAGGCTGCTGCTTCTTCCCCTCCTTCTCGCTCTCTTCTTCTTCCCCCTCTTCTTCCTTCCCCTCCTTCCGGCCTTCCTCCTCTTCCTCCTCCTTCTGACCCTCCTCTTCCTTCCCCTCACCTTCCTCCTCTTCCTCCTCCTTCTGACCCTCCTCTTCCTTCCCCTCACCCTCCTCTTCTTCCTCCTCCTTCTGACCCTCTTCTTCCCCTCACCCTCCTCTTCCTTTTCCCTTGCCCTCCTCTTCTTCCCCCTCTTCTTCCTTCCCCTCCTTCTGGCCCTCCTCCACTTCCTCCTCCTCCTCGCTTTCCTGTTACTTCCCCTTGCCTGCTCCTCTCTTCCTCCTATTTTTTCCTTTCTCTCTCCTGCCAACCTTTTTGTTTTGTTTTTGTTTTGAGATAGTACTGTGTGATCCAGGCTCGCCTTAAATTTACGCTCTTTCTGCCCTGGCATCCAAAGTGCTGAGCTGACTGTTGTGTATTACTAAACCTGGTCTTGCCTTCCTTGGAGTAAGTCTATCTTTCCAGGCTAAGGTTGTCAAGGATGTTATTAACTTCTTCTGCCTCCTCTTCTGGTATTTCTGGAAAGTGCCAATGGCTGTCTAAGGGTCCCACCCTGCATCTCTGTCCCTCTCCTCATATCTCTCTGACACGCATTTCCAAATCCCCTCCCTCTCAGTGTCTGGAAATCCCCACTCACAGTGACAGGCCAGAACTCATGACCTATGATTTCATGCCAAGGGGGAAGTAACAGCAAGGGAGAAGGCAGGGATGCCCCTACAGTTTCTTTCCTAGAGTCCAAAGGAGGGGCTCCTTGCAGTGTCTGGGAGATCCCAGTAGGAGGCATGAGATGGAATGAGCTGAGAAATGGTGGCTGACCTGGCAGTGTAGCCCGCTAGCCCAGGCCCTAGACCAGAATTTTAATTCCATCATTTGCTGGTTGGTGACCAGAGCAAGGCTCTTAGCCTTCCTAGGTTTGCTTTACTATCCACTGAATAAGAATAGGTGTGGCAGTAGCCTCAAATGCCTCAGTATAGGGCCTGGCATGTAGGTGCCCTCCGCTGAACACCCTGCTGGGGATCTGGGACACAAAGAGTCAAAATGTCTTCAGTCAAAGTGAGGATGCGGTGTGAGGAGGACATTAGGGGAG